TATATATATAGAGAGAGAGAGAGAGAGAGGGGGGGGGTTGATGCAACTAGAGGTGCTCACGGCCCGGGTTGATCGGTTTGGAGCCGTTTTGACAACCCAACCCAATGTTGGCGGTTTGAAAATTTTCAACCCAACCCAACCCAACCCGTTCGGGTTGATCTGGTTGATCGGGTTGTGTTTAAACAATATAAAATCACATAAAAATAAAGAAAACTTTCTTTTGAAATACGACTGACCATTCAAGATAATATGCAAGTTTATCAAATATTTAGATATTACAATAAAAATGTTTAAACCAAATGATAATACATCAATCAACAACAATAGTTTTAGATGTTTCCAACCCCGATGCTTTCGCTTTCTTGACGTTGAGGTTGGTCGTGTCATGATTGTCATATACAATTCAAAGCTAAAGTTAAGGTCGGGTTCATCGGGTTGGTCGGGGTTTTTTTGGGCCTGACCCGATTCCAACCCAATAAGGTCGGTTGGCAAAAAAATTTATCGATCATGCATCGGGTTACCTCGGGTTGGGTTTTTTTTTTTTAAATTCGGGTTGGGTTGGTCGGGTTCATCGGGTTTTTGAGCACCCCTAGATGCAACCATTCAAATCTATAAAACAAATGCAACCCATAGGCAAATGATCGTGTGAGAATGAGAGTAAAAGTGAGAAACGTAAGAAGGGATCTCCACCCTTGGATGCAAGTAGGATGAGATGCACTGAAATCCACTGAATCAATCTTCATATCAAGCGCAATTCATGATTGAGTTTGAGATTAAAGATGATCAAGGATCCAGATTCTTTCTTACGCTTTTCACATTAACTCTCATTCTCACAAAAACCAAACCCTATATATAGATATAAATATATATATATATATATATATATATATATATATATATATATAGATAGATATATAGATTTGGGATCACGCGAGACCATCATGTTTTCGTAAGACCAGTGAAACCACTTTTTTACACTTAAAGTTCATAGCAAAACACTGTGAAGGTACAATGTTTGTGCTGTGAAGGTTCGGCATTTTATTTATCTTCACAACGTTTTGTTGTGAAGTTTTAAGTGTAAAACAATGATCTCACGGGTCTCATAGAAACATGCTAGTTTCACGTGAACCCACCCCTCTCTCTCTCTCTCTCTCTCTCTCTCTCTCTCCCTCTATATATATATATATATATATACTAGAAGCATACTCGCGCAATGCAGCGAGATACATCGTGTTTTTTTTATTTCATTTTATTATTTATCT